TCCCCGCCTGTAGTTTCCTTTAATAGAGGTGTTTGTCAGAGTCTTCATGAGATGTTTTGTTTTGCCCAGCAATTGGCTCAGCAACGAGAGGCCAGAGAAGGACCGACCCGCAAGCCCCAGCCCCCTCCTGCTTGTTTCCTTATCGCAACCCAAAAGGCAAAAGCCCAGCTCCTTGTTCAGGAACCCTGAACCCTTGAACAGGTTGAACCCTAACCGGTTCTAGTCGTGGGGCCCTAGAAGCCTTCAGCTATTTGCAAATCGAAGTCGGGACCCTCAGGAAGCACATGTAAGCCTGAACGCTAAGCGCAGAACCCTAAACTCCATTACAGGGTTCTGAGTCATATGGCACGCCCTTGTACCTTTAATCTATACCAAAGACGGTGGAGATTTTCTAGGGGCTTTCTGTTCTTCTCCCCAAGGCCGACGAACGAAGCCCTTTGGAAGGCGGGTTTGGGGCACGCTTCTATTAAGGTTTGAGGCAGCAATAGTCAGCACGCACAAATCGAGAAGCCTACCAAACAGTCAGCATATTTTGAGGATAAGATACACCAAGGCAGTATTCTAATTTTATTCAGGCCCCTACCTTTGCGTTCTTGGGGTTTAGGGCTTGGGGGCTCTTCAATCCCAGGTTCTTCCCGAGACCTCGACTGGGTTGTGGGTCTGAGGGTTGAATCTGAGTCTAATCTTCTCCTTATAAAGGGATTGTAAGAAAATGTTTGCATTACGGCCTTACTGCAAGATGCTCCTGAACCCTGGGGCGCTAGCACCGAGCCACATGCCTGAAGGATCAAGCCTGAAGGTCGAGGGTTGCAGCCCCTGCTCAAAAAAAGGGTTCGGGGTTTCAGGATTCAGTGTTCCGGGTGCTGGTTTGATGTTCAAGTAACTCTCAAGGCGTTGAGCTTTGACCCTGGGGCCCCTCCATCCCCCCATCATATCCTGCACCGGAGACATCAGGCAGGCAGCACACACATGGTGGAGAGAGAGTTTAGAGTTTTGGGGTTCAGGGTTCCCTAAACCCGAAGCCCTCGACTTCACCCTAAGAACCGCAGCCCTAAACAAACCCCCCAAAAGGCCCTAATAGAGGGGCCTTAGTAATTGGAATAGGGGTTTGCGGCCCATTCTACTATAGTTATAATAAGGAACCCCAAAACAATATGGGTAACTATTTAGGCCCCTACATTAAGAACCCGAGAAACCTGAATCCGAAGCCCGAAGCCCGAAACTCCACAGCCCCAGAACGGCCTGAGACCATCCCGCACGCTGAGTAAGGCCTTCATGCCCCCAACACCTAAATGCCAAACTCTAAACTCTAAACTCTAAATTCTACACTGAAAACACTAAAGACTAAACCCAAGTAGGGCAAGAACTTCGATTGTCGTGACGAACAGTTGCCGTACAGGTAACCTACTGGTTTCTCGGGGCCTTCACACAGCACGAACTATGGGGCGGGTTTGATTTTGGGTGTAGATCGTTTGCTGATGCGGAGGTCTGTTGTCAGATGGGCTAGTTAATGAGTATGGTTGCTTACTTGTGGTTGTCTTATCATAGGCCCTTCCTGACAACGCGGTGCTCAGTGAAATGTGCTGCAGTATCTGGAGTTTCAGCGTTGGACCAGTATCGCTACAGACCTTGCCAGGCTTGTCCGAGTGTGAGTGTCAAAAAACCCAGGTAGGAGGGAAGAAATCTAAACCGTCTAAACCCTAAACCCTAAACCCTAAACCCTAAACCCTAAACCCTAAACCCTAAACCAAAAAAAACCCTAAACCCTTTTGAACGACTTCCTTGTGAGGCCGTCGGCTCCCGGCTGCTGGACCAGCCGCTTTGCCGGGGCTTAGTTAGGGTAGGGTTTAGGGTTTAGGGTTTAGGGTTTAGGGTTTAGGGTTTAGGGTTTGGGGTGCATTGTACTTCATGTTGTCTTCATCTTGGGGAACAGGGTGAATATGGGGGTTTCCGAAAATGGGACCTTATTTTGGGGTCCTTATAATAGGGATCCTACTATTTCGGGTACTATATTAGGGTCCCCTATTTTTGGGAACCCCCATATAGGGGGGAGGGGGTGTACTTGGGCTGATAGTTTTTCTAACGCATGGGGGAATTTCAGGGGGGTGTATTGCTAGTGGTTCAGACCTCTAGGGTTCAGGATTTAGGTTGCATCACTACGTCCTCCAAGCTGCTCCCCCCTCCCCCCCCCCCCCCCCCCC